AGGCGATTTTACTCAAATCTTTTTTTTGGACTCAAACATTGGACATTAAAAGAATGCGATGCTACATTTGAGAGGAAAGTATTGTCACTCGTTAACACTCCAACCGCCCCCTTCCTAAAATTCGGTTTGTATCGAGACCCTACGAAGCGGTCGCAAATGTTTCGAAATTTGGACGGGATGTAACGTCGGTCGCACATGCACCCGCACGCAACACACGCGCAACCAGTTGCTCGGGATGCGATGCAAGCAACTAGCTGTGTGCACCTGCAATTATCGGGCGCCGCTAACAGGTTAATTGATCTTGTTATCTCTGGGAAACAAGCGCCACTTTGATAACAAGGTAATCACCCCACCTGCTGCTGCTGTTTGTTTGTTTATTGGTGTGTGTGTGTGTGTGTGTGTGTGTGTGCAGGGCAAAAAAAAAAAAAAAGCAGATGGCCTGAATGTCTTTAACTCCAACATGGCAGGTTTTTACTTGTGTGGTAAAACGATCACGTTTCGCTTTCAACTTTAACGACACAAGCTGGAAGCAATAAAAACAACACGCATGTTTCGGACGCTGCGGTTTCGGTATTCAAACCACGAACGTTCTGTGTCAGTAGACAAGTAGAATTACGGTGGCCCCCCAAGGGGCTAAAAATAAATAAATAAATAAATGCCGGACTGGAAAGCTAGGACTTTTTTCATGTTAAACATCAATCTGTTTTTGTCAAATATACCATTCTCACGATATTGTCTTGAAATTACGTTTTTCCTGCAAAGATTGTCATTATCGTCCAAAATGTTTCCTTGTAAAATCGTGTCATATGTTAAACACTTTTGCTTCGTGTGCGATCCTGACTTTATGAGGTAATTTTTGTTGCTTGGTTGGTAAAATCGCTGAAAATGACAACTTCCCGCTCTTATTTTTCCCTGCCATCAGCATCATTGAATCCCATTTTTTTTCCGAGAAAAATCAAAACTTTACTACCTCTTAAAATCATAACGTCTCAACTTTAACCCCAACAACAGATCACAGCGCACACAATACGTGATTCATACAACACAAGCACATTTTGACTGAAGTTTAAAATCAGCATGTGGTCCAACGTGTGAAAAATAGAACCCCGCCCCAAAAATATATGTCCAAATATGACTCATCATCAACGTGGCTTTTGACGCCGTCGTGTCTTCGAATACAACGACAACATCCTTCGTGGGAGTTCCGTGAGAACGCCTCATAAGTGTTGTCGCGACTCAACAATTAATTGCCCAATTGATGAGCTGTCAGGTTTGTTGCGGCGCGTGCCAGACAGGTGGCGAGCCAGTCTGGATGCGGGCCAGGCGCCTAATAGAGATGGCTCGTGTCGGGCGTGACAGCTGGCGACGCTGGCGCCAAGACGGCGACGTTGTCAACGGAAACAGGCTTGCGTTTGGGTTCACAACGGGGAGCCTTTAAATACGCGGGAAATAAGAAACCAGTGCTGTAATACGAGGAGCCGGAGTCAATTGCGAAAAAAAAGAAAATAAATGAAGCGTCATTTCTATTGTTCACCTATGCACCGCAACATCTGCCAAGTCAAAACTGCGATGTTGGGCTAAGATGTCTTATTTTGAAACAATCGTCTTATTTTGAATGTTGGAGTACACATAAGAACCTACTTCTGCCATTCAAATGTCTGGCAGTCAAGGTCCTCTGAATAGAAAGATAAAAATGAGCAGGGGGAAGTAACTTGTGGAAAAAAAATAAAATAAAAATGTGATTTCTAATCTTCACGTCGACTTACTGTGTCTCGTGACTTCGACTAAACCGCCCCCTCTTCCGCCCAGCCTGATGTTTTCGAAGAATTCATTTTCACCGCCGGAGCTCGGACACGTTGAGCGAGGCTTTGTCGTAAATCTCGCCGCCGAGGAAGAGGAGCAAGAAGACGAAGAGGAGGAGTAATTTCATTAAACCGAGCGACCGTAAAGATCAGCCTGACATAGCGAGACCTTATCAAAGTCATAAAACTGAAACGAAGCTTTGTTCAAGGCCCGCTCCCCACCTTACGTTGACAAGAAAGAACGTTGACAACATGAACTAGCGGCTAGCGCCGCGGACTAGCGGCTAGCGTCACGGACTAGCGGCTAGCCCAATTCACTTTAACTTAATTTTGCATCTTGGGGGAGGAAAAAAAAAACTACGTGAATAGTTGAATCCAGAATGAATCTGCTTGTTAAGTCTCTAATTCCCCCATGACAACGGTCGACTTTGACCATGGTGCTTTACAAGTCGATTAATCGGCGACGGTCACAAAGTAGGTATCCCGAACCACGCCGCCGTGCTGAGATGAATCAGCGTTTGCAGTCTGAACGATGAATACGCAGCAAGCGCCGCATAGTGGGTGGCATTTCCAAAGAACAACTTGTGTTGAAATGTCACAATATCCGCCTGGCGGAAAAGCGCCGCTTCCTGCAAAAACCGGGCCGGCGTGATGAATGCCACCCGCGTCACGTGACGCAAACAAGTCGGAGGAGCGACGGGAATACGAAGCGCCGCGAAGCTGCGAACTTGCACAGACATGCATAGAATGTTAGCAGCAGTGGCGCGAGTGAGACAGCAGGATGCGGCGAGGTAATTAGTCCCGCGGGGGGAATCGGCAAATTCCAAAACCAATGAAAGCCACGACGAGAGAGCTGCGCCCAAATAAAATCTACCTCTACAAAAGATAATAACGCTGACTCGGCAAGTGAGGCTTTCAAACTTTAATGCCGGCTTGGTGCGTTCACAATAAATGAGCCCACGAGTCACAAAAAAATATGAAAGAGGAAGAGAACGCCGCAACTGTTGATGCTGATTGTGTGTTAGCATTAAGCTAGCGAGGATAATTCTAAGACAAAGTTATTTGGTTTTTAAATCAACAAGGCGTTATTCTCAATATTGGACCAGTTATGTTTGTATAATTCTGGCGCTTGTGCTCGTCAGAAAACGATTGGCGCATCCAAAAATACCGCAGCTCTGCTTCGTTTCTTTTTTTGGCTTTGACGCGATCGTGCTTTTCAGTGTGCACGCTTAAAATCTGACCAGATTGCTTTCCATCTGACTGGTATTAAATCTTGGGAGATGTTGATGAAAATGCCAAAAGTGAATCACAGGAAAATAAAAGTAACGCTAGCGAGGTGACACAAAACTGTCGTCTCTGAGCTTCACCTCCGGGGCATTCCTTTTATTGTCATCGTGGTGTGTGTGTGTGTGTGTGTGTGTGTGTGTGTGTGTGTGTGTGTGTGTGTGTGTGTGCGCGTGTGTGTTTGTGCGTGCGTGCTTATTATAAATTCACACGCTGCTGCCTGTCGACGTCTGTCAGAGAGACACCTGTTTCCTGTCGGGATTCGTATGACTCGGCTGGTCCGGGAAAATCTTAACAGGCAGGTGTTGTTGTGAGGGAAAAACAAGGGCAATTAGCGCCGAGGAAAGAAAAAAAAAAGAAATAAATAAAAGCCCCCCACCCCCTCACTGAGGCTAAAATTATTATTTTCATAAACCGCACACACACAACAGCAACTTTGCTCTCAATGCGGTAAAACAAACAGCGGGTCAGGAACAGCGCGAGCGAGCGAGCGACTGGCGGAACTCGACAAATAAAAGTCGATAGATGAGTTTGACGGGAGGGGGAAAGAAAACAGGATGTGATGCAGACATGCCGGAAAAAAAAAAAAAGTACAACAGAGGAGATGCAAATGCTCATGAGAACCTCTGTTCAAAATGTTAGTCACCCAAAAAATGGCCTATTTTAGTGTGTCATTGCGATTTTTGCATGAGAATCTTCTTAAGTGGCTTAAGACAGCGGTCCCCAACCGCCGGTCCGCGGACCGGTCCCGGTCCGCCGGGCATTTGGTACCGGGCCGCACAGAAAGAACTTGCCTTAATTCCGTTTTATTTATTTCGGAATACGAAAGATGTTTTATTTTGAAAAACTACCGGATTCTCCGTTACATCCGTCTGTGTTACGCTTGACACACGTCAAGCCACGCTTCTCCTTCACGTGACCGATTACTTCAAAACAAAAC